AAATAATAGAGGAGGTATGTTCTTCAAAGTTCAGGCTTCCTGTGTAATTAATTCCTAAATTGTGTGCTGATTCGAGTGTTTAGACTCTACATTCATTTAAGGGAAGTTGCGGTTTAGCGAGTGTGAGAACATCACGCCAATCGTTTGTAGTAACCTACTATGATCAAGAGAACGCGATTGGTTTAATGGAAACAATTATTATTGTAACCTATTGTACCAGTGATTGTTTTACTGTACTTGTTTATTTGACTGTACTATAGACATTCTTAACTCCGACTGGAGTCCCTCCGGGGGCTACTGCCGGTCCCAAGCCCGGATAAAGGAGGAGGGTTGGGCATGGGGTTAGCGTCCCCATCCCGTAGAAAACTAACTCGCTAAAAAAACGCTAACCAGAAAAAATTATTCAAACCTTTTAAACTCTGCCCTGGGAGTCAGAAGATCTTCATTTAGAAGAATTATGACGCCTCATGATGAAAGCCGAATCCCTTCGGAAGTTACGAGGCCGATGCCCCTTCTGACAACCAGAGCGACCATTTATTTAGGTACATGGAATGTTCGTACAATGTGGGACACCGGAAGAGCCTTCCAGATTGCTGCAGAAATGAGAAGATACAACCTGGAGCTACTTGTGATCAGTGAAACACATTGGACACAAGTTGGACAACAACGACTAACTACAGGAGAGCTACTGTTATACTCCGGCCATGAAGAAGAAAATGCACCACATACATAGGCGGCACCGTATTCCCACATAAACGCATACACAAAACCACATGGACTTCACCGGATCACTCTACACAAAACCAAATCGACCATATTTGCGTCAACAAAACGTTCAGGAGGACTATGGAGGACGTGAGGACCAAGAGAGGAGCTGATATAGCATCAGATCATCACTTACTGGTCGCCAAGATAAAATTGAAACTCAAGAAGCACTGGACAACGGGGCAGACAGTATCACAAAAGTTCAATACGGCCTTTCTCCAGGATACTAACAAACTCAACAAATTCAAGATAGTCCTCAGCAACAAGTTCCAGGCCTTTCATGATCTACTCAATGGAGAAGGAACTACTGTGGAGAGCAACTGGAAGGGGATCAAAGAGGCAATCACTTCAACATGTCATGAGGTCCTGGGTCACAAGAAGCACCACCACAAGGAATGGATTACTGTTGGTACACTGGATAAGACTCAAGAAAGGAGGAACAAGAAGGCAGCGATCAATACCAGCCGAACAAGAGCAGAAAAGCCAAGGCACAAGCTGAATACACAGAACTAAACAAGCTAGTGAAGAGGAGCATCACAACTGACAAACGTAAATATGTAGAAGATCAAGCAATGACGGCAGAAAAGGCTGCAAGAGAAGGAAACATGAGACAATTGTATGACACGACAAAGAAACTCTCTGGAAATCGCCGCAAACCAGAACGACCAGTGAAAAGCAAGGAAGGCGAGGTAATCACCAACATTGAAGAGTAACAAAACAGGTGGGTAGAACACTTCAAAGAACTCTTGAATCGACCAGCTCCACTGAACCCGCCCAACATCGAAGCAGCACCCACGGACCTCCCAATCAATGTTGGCCCATCAACAATTGAAGAAATCAGCATGGCCATCAGACAAATCAAGAGTGGCAAAGCAGCAGGACCGGACAACATCCCAGCAGAGGCACTAAAAGCAGACGTAGCGGCAACTGCACGGATACTCCACATTCTCTTCAATAAGGTTTGGGATGGAGAACAAGTACCAACAGACTGGAAAGAAGGACTACTGATCAAAATACCGAAGAAAGGCGATCTCAGCAAGTGTGATAACTACAGGGGCATTACTCTTCTCTCAATACCGGGAAAAGTCTTCAACAGAGTATTGTTAAACAGGATGAAGAACTGCGTAGACGCCCAACTTCGTGACCAACAGGCAGGATTCCGTAAGGATAGATCGTGTACAGACCAAATCGCAACTCTACGGATCATTGTGGAACAATCAATTGAATGGAATTCATCACTCTACATCAACTTCATTGACTACAAAAAGGCATTTGATAGCGTGGACAGAACAACACTATGGAAACTTCTTCGACACTACGGCATGCCTCAGAAGATAGTCAATATCATACAGAACTCATATGATGGATTACATTGCAAAATCGTGCATGGAGGACAGTTGACAAAGTCGTTCAAAGTGAAGACCGGTGTTAGGCAAGGTTGCTTACTCTCACCCTTTCTCTTTCTCCTGGTGATCGACTGGATCATGAAGACGTCAACGTCTGAAGGATGCAGTTGGACGATCTAGACTTCGCAGATGATCTGGCCCTTCTATCGCAAACGCAACAACAAATGCAGGAGAAGACGAACAGTGTGGTGGCAGCCTCAGCAGCAGTAGGTCTCAATATACACAAAGGGAAAAGCAAGATTCTCCGATACAGCACAGCATGCACCAATCCAATCACAATTGACGGAGAAGATTTGGAAGATGTAAAAACCTTTACGTATTTGGGCAGCATCATTGATGAACAGGGTGGATCTGATGCAGATGTGAAGGCGCGGATCGGCGAAGCAAGAGCAGCATATTTACAACTGAGGAACATCTGGAATTCAAAGCAACTGTCAACCAACACCAAGGTCAGGATTTTCAATACAAATGTCAAGACAGTTCTACTGTATGGGGCAGAAACCTGGAGAACTACAAAAGCCATCATCCAGAAAATACAGGTGTTTATCAACAATTGTCTACGCAAAATACTTCAGATCCATCGGCCGGACACTATTAGCAACAACGTACTGTGGGAGAGAACAAACCAGATCCCAATGGAGGAAGAAATCAGGAAGAAGCGCTGGAAGTGGATAGGACACACATTGAGGAAAGCACCGAACTGCGTCACAAGACAAGCCCTCACATGGAATCCTGAAGGTCAACGGAAAAGAGGAAGACCAAAGAACACATTACGCCGAGAATTGGAGATAGACATGAGAAAAATGAACAAGAATTGGATGGAACTAGAAAAGAAGGCCCAGGACAGAGTGGGTTGGAGAATGCTGGTCAGCGGCCTATGCTCCATTGGGAGTAACAGGCGTAAGTAAGTAAGTAAGTAAAGACATTCTTCTTCCTTCCGTTGATTGTGACCTTGCACGAATTTGGTTACGTTCAGTAACCACACTTGTGACTTAGCACAATCTCGGTATTCTTTCGATACCACGAGATCGCCAACAAATACATCTCGACTACAGTCATCAACTGCTTTCTGATATTTGGCTTACTGTGGATCTTATCGGTTAACTGGCACGTAGTCTTCCTGTATTGGTGATCATAGTCAACCGCGACTCGACGCCACATTACACGTTTTCATGGAGATTGAAGCCGCTTCTCTCAGTACAGCAGGATGAATCATATCTGGGTCAGAAGAAATGTCCTCGTTTCACTGTTAAAGTTTCTGATACGCCGAGTCAGCGCCCAAGTTCACTTTTGAGAGCTCTGTTGAGTTGTAGGTGAAGCTCACATCAATGTAGTTGGTCTGGGACGGTTGAAATCTCTAGAAATACTGTCACGTTAGAAAGTCAGCTGCTTTTTTTGCTGGATCTTAGAACCTAACAACTGGGAAACTCAGGTTTTGGCTCGTTTAAGAGAGACCGTATGATTGAATGCACTTATCGGATTGGAGACAAACTCCGACTAGCTTTATCTGATATTGAAACCTGTCTTCACTTATCGTTTTTGTGAAGTGCTTCCCTGTTTGTTTGGGCTGTCTGTATGTATTGCTGTGGCTGGTTTGTTTACGATTTCACACAGTAGTGCCTTTTGAGTGTCACCATTTAAAGACTGCGATGAATGCTTGTAAATTTTGAGGACTTTGTGGGACAGACGTTTATAGCACACAAGATCGTGTGCAGTAAGAGGTCCCATTGAGTGTCTACATCAAGCTGTCAGTGGACTTTCCAGTCAACTGCTGTAGATTGTCCTGTCGTTGACCGTCTAAAATCCCAACACCTGTTGTTGGTACGGTGGTATAGCTCACTTTTGCTGATAAAATTGAAAGCTATGACGGCATGACCATTTTTACCCAGGGGGCTAGGATTGAGAGACTGTAAAAATACTATGTTAACATAGTGGATTCTCACCGAGTTACCGACTTAACATTTTTGAATGATTGCAGATCTTAAATGAGGTTGAGAAATCGAGTTCCGGCTGTTAACCGAAAGCTTGATGGCTCGTGGTCAGTAAAAACTAGGAATTCCCTGCTCCCTAGCATGTGTCGGAAATGCTTAACGGTTAGGTAGATTGCGAGTCCTCGTTCGAAGGTAGAATACCTTGTCTCTGCTAGGACGAGTCTTGTTGAGAAGAAATAAATCTGTTTCCAGGCTTTTTAAACCAGTTGGTTAAGAGTACCATCTGCTTCTCTGCCCGAAACATCCACTGTCAAAGCGAGTGAGGAATGAGAATTCTGGTACATCAATGTAGGTGCTTGAGCCAGTTTTTGCTTTGGTTGTTTATTAGCCTCAACAGCCTCAAAAGTAGGCTTGGATGCTTTTGGTTTTAATTTAAGGAAACCTGTCAAATGTGACACTAATTGTGTACAACTAGGTATGAAACATCGATATAAGTTGATTAAATCCTGTATGCCATTTGTAAAATCTTATATTTAAGGCATTGAGTACCTATGCAAATCACATCAAGACTTAACCTCCCGTTCGTAAAAACGTTTTTAAAGTAATTCGATTTGTCGAGATACATTTGATTCAAGCTGGATATTTATTTTGAGATTTTAATATTTGAAAGAGCAGACAAGGCGGATTGTATTGCGGCCAGCACAAAACTACTTAAGTAGCACTTGATTAACCGTGAATTCAATTTTTAGTGAGATTTTGGATTTCATTATAGTAAAATTAGATAGTCAGAGAATTTATATTTGTTTTTATTAGTCAAACGGCTAACATACGTACCAGTAAGAAACGCGGCTTGTACGAGTCTGTCTTCTAATTGTCCCACTGATTTTGTACGGAAAAAATGGGTGATGAGCCAGGTTACGATATATGTGAATGTATACAATCTCACAACGGGGCCATGCGCCAACTGTTGGGAATATTAAGACAGACTCAGGAGTATTGTAGTGACAGCTCTTGCGTTGATGATTTATCTCATACACCTCAAAGTAACCAAGATCCAATGTCCGGTACCTACATCATGACGTTCGTGGCGATGCTAGCGGTTTTCGCTGCAGTACTGTTTGGCTTGCCACGCTTTCGGTCATCAGATGGGAAGCCTCGCAACAACTTCCAGGTGAACCTTACTTTTTTTACCAGTTAAGAATACTTCGTTTACTTCATTAACAAACCTGTTTATGTTATTTCTGTTTTCACTAACCTTGGAAGTGTGGTTTAGATTTCCTGGAATAAGAGTTTTTGGTACGCAAATCCACAATGTTAATAGTGATCTTGATATATATCGAGATTTTGGGTTTTTTTGTCATTTCCCTCAAGTTTACTATGGCTGCTTTCCCAAAATTGCGAGATCGCGATGGCAGTCAAGATGGACTCTATTTTGTTATTCTGACAGACTGTGAAAGTTCCATCTGCGGTTCTAAATTGTTTGTTTATATCTAACATTGAAACCAACAGTACTCGGGAGTTTCAGGTATCCTGCACTTTGCTCTAGGCCCAACTAAGAAACTAATTGTTTTTAATTCCGCGTCTTCTGAACAAATAATGACTGCTCGTGGTGGTATGACCTAATAACTACATGTTTATGTGCTTAATTTTAACGGATGACAGGATTCCTATTTAACTACCGAAACCGAAATAGGAAAATGTAGGCTTGCGGCATTCAACATTCTCCCTTATTGGTTAGTAGTATTGGTTAATTCAGTGAGCTGGTGAGAGGGTGAGACTAATTTGGTCTAGACGCAGGGTACTAGGCAATGATGGTTAATCAGTTGATGAGATTGTAGACATTCATCGGCAATGATGGTTGGGTCATGTGTTACATATGCTTGAACACTGAAAACCACGACGCTCAGTGCTGACCAGTGTTGGAGACGATTGGAAGGAAGTTAGGGGCGGCCGTACCAAGGCGTGGCATCAGTGCTTGAAGTCACTAAACTCTACTCTGAATCATGTTGGTAGATTTACACTACTTGGTTGGGGTCCGCTTGACTATCTTAATCAATGGTTGGAGTCTGTATGACATGGCTCAGAATCGATTACAATGGCGTCGGTGTATACACTCTTTGTCTTCCCTTGAACTAAGAGGTTAGAATCGCTTCATATCTTTATTTCTACGAACTAATTTTTTCTTCCTATACTATGTCCTTATACACAATCTTTCTTTTATATATTACCACCACTGAACTAACTACTTCTATGAATCCGGTGTTCATCTTGTTATGTTAATGAGGTGTGGCAACTTGGACTGATGCATATATGTTCCTGGTCCTGTGTTGTAGCTGATTGACTATCTTTGTCTGCGTTCGGTCTTATGCATACCTTTGTTGTGAAACAAGTTTAAATCACGTCCATGTTTCTATCGATATGATCTTTATTCCGATCTCCATTAATGTCAAACATTTCGAATACGCACGTAATAATTCGTAAAAGCAAGTGAATTGACGGTACTTTCTTTATAGGTTAAAGTTAACCAGCGATTTGTACATTTGGGTGTGTAAGCCTTGGGCCTTCAGTTACTTAATTTCTCGGATTAACAACCATAAGTAACCGGGTAATATGATTAACTCTTATGCGTAACTTGTGCTTTAAAGCGTAGTATATGAACCTTTGCTAAGTTATGTTAGTGTTATTCGTATGTGCTTTTTTGGGGTTCCTTGAGCATGTTCAACAGACTTAAAAAACTAATATCTAGAGGTTATCATCCAATGTCTTAATTCATTTTGATGTAAAAATATGGTTGCCTATGTGAGTCATATTTATTTAATCACCCAATCTAATCGGATAAATTTTGTCGTAATTATATATATGTATAAATATGTAACTGTATATAAAATTTTATTCTTGACGTTATATTTCACAAATAGGGACCAAATCGTGATCCACCAGCAATCTCGTAACTCTCATGAAGAATGGATTTACTATTGTGATTCTTATCTCCTTTCATAAATAAAATAAGATAAATGTAACATAAGGATCTACATACAAAGAGATTTCTGACTTCAAAGATACTTCTTTGCCTTTCATTTCTTTCAAAAAATTATGGTAACCCAGATTGACAAAGGTCAATTTCTTTTTTAAAAAGAAGTTGATCTGGAAAAACATTTCTGAGATTCATTTGTTTTCATCTAACTTTCTAAATAATTGACAAATTATTTAAGAATAGCGTCCATTTTACTTGTTTAAATAAGTGAACATGTTTCTACTTTTTTGTATGCTTGTCGATTTTTCTCCCTTATTTTTTCTTCTGACTCACCAATTTTTTTTATTATAAAGTGAGGAAGAAGCTTACATTACTTCTACTATTAATACGAAAATGACGATAACTACTGATATGGATAATATTACTTATTATTTTTTGTACTGACGAAAGTTCAACGACTTTTCTCAGAAAACTAAAAGAGATGCATCTGACCTTTATATTTTGGATTGTTTTCTTTAAATGATATTAGTGTTGCATTCCTGTGTTCATTTGGCGCTAACGTGTCTCTGAGTACGTACGCGTATATCTGTATGTTCTATAGATAAGTAAAAGATCAATACTAATTAAATGGTGGTGAGTCAGTTTAAAAAAATAATAAACGGTTAGCTATACATTTGGAAAATTGAAAGACTAGGACTAAGGTGAATAATCAGTCAATTCTTGCAAATATTTACCTAAGAAGACGAGTAGGAATCAGTTTGTGGGAGAAATAACAAGCTGAAAAACACAAAGAATGACACTAAATAGGGTGCTTTACTACTACAAACTGACAGTGATGTAGAAGTACCTACAGTAATCCGGTTCTATTTCAGTCACTTTACAATATAAAAAGTTCGGAATTCTAAGGGAGATACCGAATTCGAAGGATGCGTATGTATGTGAGGCAAACGGATAAAAGTATTATATTATGTTCAAATTGGATATGAAAAGTGCTAGAATTAATACACTTGCTTTATATATCTAGCCATCAATACTACTTGTCTCATAAATCCTTAGTACCGAGAATTTTCGTTGTATATGCGTCCTAGACCATTAGTTACAGAGTGTGAAGCGTAATAACTTCAATCAGGCACATACATGCATCTATTCAAGTTGCCATACCACATCATTTCAGTGTGATGAGATTAAGATAAATAACAGAATGATAAAGGTATCGGTGACCTTAAAAAAAGATTAGTCATAAACAATAATTAGAGGTAATAAGTTGGAGGGATAAAAAGTTTAGGGTAATTTCAAAACTTAATATCTGAGGAAAGAAAGTAAATACACTTTGACCATTGTAACTGATTCCAAGCCATAGCATCCAACATCATTAAACATTGGTTACGATAATCGTGTAGACTCTAACCAAGGTAGTCTGGATCAGGTAAATGACTTCTTGAAACTTGTACCAGTGATCTAGTTAAAAGCTAACTGCTTGACAGGTTATAGTTGATCACTGTAGGCGCCCATAGTTATTTATGTGGCTTGAACTAATAACCGGAGATTTAACGTTGCTAGCCATCTGAAGTTGCATCTTATGAAAATTTACTAGTATTCCTGTGTATAAAAATTGGGATATATTCACATGATACCATTCTTCGTTTTATGATTATCTCTTCATTATATTGTCAGTTAATGTAATCAAAATTTAAGTTGGTTCCAAATCAAGAAAAGCTAGTTTCTTTGAATTTGCAAAAAATACCACCTTATTAACCGGCCCGGATTAGAATGGAACCCATATTTAGAGTTTCGTCCTCGAACCATTTCACATCTTAACATAGTCCACTCTATATTCAGCCACTTCAAATAGTGATTACATTACAACATGGTCGACAGAATTTGATCAGCACTAAAGACTAGGCCAACATGACATTGCTTCTCAGTAATCAACCAATACAAAATAAGATGTCTGAAATACAACTGAGTCATTTCATCCAATACCTCAATTGTATATTCTTTACACCCAATAACCATGACGTTTTCAGACACTGGTGTAACTATAATCAACAGTTAAGAATTTCATTGATTGTTGCTCTGTGATTAGTTTGAACGAAAGACATTGGTTGCAATGCAAAAATACTGGTATGTGAGTCAAAGATGTTTAAACAGCTTGTGACATACTATTATTATAATGTAGGCCAATCATGTGGATGAAAGTCATGTAATTGTTCGGTTTTCATCAGATGAGTCAGCGTGCTACAAAGTATAGAGGAAATTACTATGTAATCGCGAGAAATGGATCATGTACTAAGTTAACATGGAATTATCTTTTGATACTTCTGATAACTTAAATGATGGATATACTTACAGATAATCAAGCGAAAACATAATGGTTTATTGGATCTGGCGATAAGATATAGAATTCATAACATCAATAAGTTTTCATTTAGTCAATGAGCACTCCCAGTAGTTGCTCAAGATTAGTTTTTTTGTACCGGCAGTAACAAGGATTGATCATGGAATGAAAATTTGAGTTATGACTAAGAATACTGAAGCTAGCATACTGACTACATGATCTGAAGGTTCTTAGTCCAATCTCATGTGGAGTAGTGAATGTATATGTATATTCTTGTAGTCGAAGATTAACATGAAATGTTTGTATGGGTTTCCAGTGGCTCTAAACAGTCCTCTAATAAACATCGGTTTATGCAGAAAATCTATCTGGAATTATAATGATCAATGAGATAAGTAATTGTAATTCAGTTAGGAAATAAAACTTATTCACAGAAAACTTAAAATCACTCTTTCGTATGCAATGCAATCGAAAATGTGAATGTAACTCATAGTGTAGTACATTTTTATCATATGTAACCCACAAAAGTTCATTACATTGTTATTAAAACATTGTTCTGTCTTTACAATACAATGAATAATGTGAAAATATTCGGAATAAATAGATACGCAACAAAATTTAATAAAATAGTTGAAGAACAGGAATAAACATAACTTAGTTTGCAGATATTTTACTCCATGTTAGCTTAAATGTATTTAGCATGAAAGTTGACTGGTTTGTTTGCTTACAGGCATTGCTACGAAATGATTAGTCGTTACCTTCGAATTTTCAATTATATGTTTAGATCAGCACAGCCTTCTCGTCTCAGGGGTTTTGTTTACGAAATTGAGAGGACGAAAAGCAAATGTCTGGCGCTTTAACTGGGTTGGTGGATACAGAGGATCCACCTAAGGGAGTTGGAAAATCCTTATTCCAAGCCAATGGTGCACATGGTCTCTTGGATCCTGAAGGAATAAATGGCGTATGAACCGATTGTTGATCACCGGTTACCATGGGACTGCATTTCCTGAATTTCAGAAAAATATCTCAAAAATTATCCTGTTAAGTCTGATGCTATCCTTGGACTTGAAATGGCATCATTTTCCTATTGGTCAATTTTTATTTCACGTATTGTTGCCCTACTGGTCAATATTTATTTCACGTGTCATTTTCCTTTTGGCCAAATATTGTACAAATGTTATTTTCTATTTTATGGTACGTTGTGGTCTGTCTGGTTGATATATAAACCGAGTATGTTTGAAATAAATGATTCATATCGCAGAGGCTGAGACTTGTGTTCTGGACTTAACTGGCTGGGCTAGGCGGAAAGCAGGACTCTAAGCTGCTTATACGGGTTTACGCTGCTTTCTAATCGGCGGTCACAAGTTATAACACTGACGGTGCTCCACTGCCTTGTGCATTCGACCTTTAGGTCAAAGGTTCCGAATGGGACCCCCTACAACAGCCATCTGTTTCGGTTTGGGCGCCCGAGCAGTATCGCAGCCCCCACACAAATCGAATGATTTATGTCGCACATATCTATTTGGTGTCTCCTTGTATCGATTTTTATGTGTTTAAATAAATAAATGTTAAATGAACGGATGTCGAATCAATGTAGAACATTCCCCAGTAGTCTAGAAATTTTCAGATTCGATACCTGTCTGTGTTGTGGGTGCATACTGCCGAAAAATCTTATGCTAGTACCGGGCACCCCATTCTTCCTCATGTTCACCGATAACTTAAATTAGTTTGTGACGTAAACTTTCCGAACTTAAATTGATAATTATAAAACGCTTAATGATTACACTTGGACCATTTTCTAAATTAAGAAACCCAATAAAACTTGAATTTTATGCACTTAGTTCTTATAACGATTGTTTTATAGTAATAAAAATAGTCTTACAAAAAGAGAAAGGTAACGAGATGGTTAACTGAGTTCAGAGTTGATTTTTAAGGCATTCGGACATTTGGAGTAACACTTATTCTGTAATGTACATGTTCTATTAGTTTTCACCATGAACTGTTCATTAAAGACTACAAACACACTTTACTGAATGATGTCAACTAACACCACTGCTAGGTCTTTGGCTAAACTGTCGATTACCTCTAACCAATTGATATCAGATCAAAGAATCATTGAAAAGTAGGTTAACTTAGATATCTGTTACACTGAATGATTAAACTGTGAAGATCACATGTTCAGTGTAAAACAACACCAATATCACCCATGTTGGGTGAATTTTTAAATAATGATTTCTAGGATACAAATTTCTAGAAATCAAATGTTCAAACTCACATGATATATATAACACAACTGCTGTGCAGTTCAGTTAGACTGCTCATAACACAAATGACTAAATTTGTGCTACTCTTTATTTATCTAAAATTTCAAGCGCCTGACATATGTAAACATAAATGAATATTGAAGGATGCATTTCTTGAAATTTTTTTATACATGATATAGCAGAACGTATGTGAGTATTTATAAAGTAACGATGTATGACCTTTAGAAACAACCAATAAGTTCCTCAGTTATTGTGAGCCACATTTCAGTTTTGCACATAATTGAAAGTCTCAAATTTGAGAATTAAAGTATCTTTTTCTCATCTTATGGTGGCTGGTAGTTTATGAAGATAAGATTGTGGGGCCCTTTATTTTGTCATCATTTAGATCGGATGATGTTTGTTGACGGGCTTTCCACTTTAGTTGCCCGAGATCTAACTCCAATTTGGTTGTATGAATGATCGTTGTCGAAATATATATGTCGCCTATCCTTTTATATAATCATCGACTAAAATCGCATTAGTCAATAATGGAATGAAATAAGTCAAATTACGAGAAAGGACGTGTGGATACATATATTTTGTATATTGAGCGAATAGAATAGAGCAAAGCGAAACGACGCGCAGTGGAGATAGCGAGTAAGCCAACTCCCTTTTTGTCGAGCGTCAATCAATATTTATGGCCCCACAATAATAAGTTACAGACATGTGATGAATAGGATAAGAAATGTACACACACTATGCGCTCGTATAAAAAAGTCAAGATCGGTAAGCGAATAATTAATAAGGTCAAAATGTCACCCAAGTAGAATGAATAGAATGGGATGTTCGAAAGCTAGAATAAGTGTATGAGCTTAACATAATAACCGACACTACAAGATCTTTCGCAGTATGCAGAAACTGAGCTTTCAAAATAGTCGATAATGATACTAATTCAAATATAAGTATGCTAACCGATCATGGTCGCAGTCATTAGAACCAAGTAATTTTTCGCTAATCATGAGGTCGCTGGAAATGCGTTTTTATAGAACGGTAGGAACTTCCCAAGGAAATCAATACTTCTGTAACAAGTTGGTATTCATTCGACTTCTTTCATGTTAATTTACAAAATCCTATACAAATATTAATTTTACATGATTTTGGTCATCATGTCAGTGTTTAACTGTGTTATCCCTTTTAATAATTTCTTAAAATTTCCATATCAACAATCCACACTCGTTACTGATAGCAGATAAGTACAGTCTATCCGAGATTTCATACTTAGCATTGCTAACAAATGAAAAATACAAGTAATCAGAATGGGTTCTGTGGAAATTTTAGAAATTTCACTGATTGAAATCATGAGAAGCCGTTACCAGTGGAGTTCAACCAGGTCTGTTGTGAGATATCAGCTCACTGAAGACAATGGTGTATGGTGGCGTAACTTCGTGGATTGGTTGAAGTTAGACATTAACACCGTTGGATGCCGGCTCAGTGGTGTAGTTGGTTAAGCGCCTGGCGCGAGATTGATAGGTCCTGTATTCGAGTCTTGCGGGGTGCGGGATCGTGGTTGCGCACTGCTGAGGAGCCCCATATTGGGACGAAACGGCCGTCCAGTGCTTTCAGGCTTTCCATGGTGGTCTAGATTCAATTGAATCATGATTTCAATCAGTGAAATACAAGTAAGTTTACTTAATTTTTTGAGAAGACCCTGAAAATTGTTAACAAGACAACCAAAACAATCTGTACAATTAATGGAAGTCAGGAATTCACTGATTTGCGTAATTGATAGAACTGTAAATGACAGAATATTGTTGAATAGTAATCAGAATAATGTTTTCAGAATCCAAACTGATGATCTTGAACTTTCTAAGTAAAAGAAAGTGGTATGATCATAATTGATTGACTACTAAGTAGTGATCACTGTCATGTTTGTCTAGTTTTTTTTAATGCTGACTGAATTCCGTCTATTAATGTGCAATGTAGCAACTAATCTGAGCGATTCAACAACGTATGTACTGTGATAATGTGTAAGATGGTTCGAGGTAATCGACTGGGAAAACTGTACCTGGGTTTTGTTCTAGTGGTCAATCGTCAGAAAAACATAATAAATCAATTCTAATTATCTCAGGTCAGTCACGATAAAAACAGATAAGTAATAACAACTCAAACTGTGAAATTGAGTTTTACGTGTACGGATTCAAGTGGGAGTATTAGTTTCCTGAACGCTTCTGGTAATTTCCTACTTGAAGAAACCAATGTAAAGATTTTCCTGTCGAAATCAATGTGAACTGATTTTGTTATTCACATGAAAATGTACTTACAATTGAACGTGTACTACAAAAGGCGTTGCCTATAATTTAAAAAGGAATTAATAATTTTGTCAAGTATATTATATGAAAATGTCTTTAAATGGCTCATTTTTTGTTAAAATAAAATGAATGACAGTGTGATTTGAATACCTTGGTAGCAACATAAAGTCTACTATAGGTACCCCGTGTGGTGCTTATTCTTATGTTACTAATGCTTAAAATGCTTTTTTTATGTTCATCGTAAACACATATTCTCCATGTTAGGACTTCAAACTGTTTTGTTCATGACATATGTATTTATTTTAATAGTTGAGATCATGAGTCCATTGATGTTAGACCAACATAGGAAACCTGTGAGCACTGAATGGTCGTTTCGTCCTACTGTGGGACTCCTCAGCAGTGCGAATCCACCACCCCATCTCGCGAGATTCGAATACAGGACCCATCGGTCTCACGCGTGAACGCTTAACCTCTAGACCACTGAGCTGGTCGGCAATCAAATGTGTTAACTTTTAACTTCAACTAATCCCCGAAATTGAGTGACACATCCACCATTGTCTTCAGTGACTCATGATCTCAACTATTAAAATTACTATAATATCCACAAAACCCCTTCTTATATTAATCAGCATATACTCACTAGTGACCGTCTCCAAGAAGTATATCCTGGAGTTTTAGTGAGATGCAGTGACCAGTGGAGTTCAACCGAGTCTGTTGTGAGATAGTAACTCACTGAAGATAGTGGTGGATGTGTCACTCAATCTCGTGAATTAGTTGAAGTTCGACATTAACACCGTTGGATACCAACCAGCTTAGTGGTCTAGAGGTTAGGCGTTCGCATGCGAGACCGATGGGTCCTGTATTCGAATCTCGCAGGACTAGATCGTGGATGTGCACTAATGGGGAGTCCTACAATAGGACGAGACGGCCGTCCAGTGCTTCCAGGTTTTCCATGGTGGTCTAGCTTTAATTGACTCATGATCTCAACTATTAAAATTACTTTATTATCCACAAAACCCCTTCTGATACATATTTATGTATAATTTAATAGTTAGCCTGCTGATATGATGGTTAGAGGATTACATTTTTATTCTAAGAATTGTTAGTGAACTCATAATAATAGTGAATTGAAAATTTGCCAAAATATGCCAGTTTTATTGAAACTATCTAACAGAATATAAGTGATAATTTATATAGACTATAGGGGGCATCTTTGTATCTTTCCAAAATATAGAATATTTAATAGATAGTTTATTGCCTTACAAAATGACATCAGGTAAAGAACTCTTGATAGCATGGATAGCTGTTTTATCTTAATTTCAGACTCATTAGAATTGCACAATTAGTAACTTACAGGAGAGTAAAAAACCTTTAAGTTCAAATCCTTTTGTAAGCATTTTGTAACTCAAATTCAACTAATAAATAGTATGTTCATCATCTTTTGTTAATTATAAATATATACTGTACAACTGAATGCAGTAACTCCCCCTTGGAGTAATCTATCAAAATAATTCTAGGATATTTATCTAAAAGCTAGCCAGTGATGAACACTATATTTCATGGAGATGTGTCACAAAAACCTGTTGTTTTGCCTCTTCTTCCATAGAAATGAAGGAGTGTTTGTCTTGTATTGAATGGTGGTTTGTTGTTAATGGTTTCATACTTAATTCGTCTAAATATCAAGTTGTTAACTTTAACCAGAGACATGAA